GTGTACAGCTCTGTTGGTTCTGCCAAGGAGCTTTGGGATGCCCTGGAGAAGAAGTACCAGACGGAGGATGCCGGGGCGAAGAAATTCGTCGTCGGCAAATTTCTTGACTTCAAGATGGTTGACACGAAGACCGTCGTGTCACAAGTGCAAGAGTTCCAGCTGATCTTGCACGATATCCATTCTTAAGGGATGACTTTGAGTGAGTCAATCCAAGTAGCGGCTGTGATCGAGAAGCTGCCGCCAGGCTGGAAGGACTTCAAGAACTATCTCAAACACAAGAGAAAGAAGATAAGTCTTGAAGACCTGGTTGTTCGTCTTCGTATTGAGGAGGACAACCGTAATTCATCGGTCAAAAAAGCCCGATAATGGAGGCTCGTGCGAACTTGTTGGAGGAAGGAAATTCGAGCAAAATGAAGCCCCTTAACAAAGGGAAGCAGCCCGCCAAGGTTTGGAAATTCACTGGATCTTGTTACAACTGTGGAAAGCCAAACCATATGGCGAAAGACTGCAAGAGGCCAAATAAAGTTGGGCCAAATGAAAGGCAACCGAGTGCCCTTGTTGCTGAACACGGCCCTGTGTCGGGTGAACTGACCGACTTTGATATGTCGGCGGTGGTGTTTGAAGCCAATTTGGTGGATAACCCGAGGGAGTGGTACATCGATACTGGTGCCACTCGTCATGTGTGTTCCGACAAGGAGGTGTTCTCTGAATACACTCCTACTACGGGTCGGAAACTACACATGAGAAACTCCTCCACATCTGATGTGGCTGTAGTGGGCACGGTGGTGCTAGAGCTTACTTCTGGAAGGGAGTTGAAGCTGAAGGATGTTCTGCATGTCCCAGACATCCGCAAGAATTTGGTCTCCGGATCACTTCTTGTTGAGCATAGATTTAGGCTGGTGTTTGAAGCTAAGAAGTTTATTCTTAGCAAGTATGGAACATTTCTTGGTCGTGGTTATCTCGACAAGGGATTGTTCAAAATGAATGTAATAGCCGTGAGGCGTGTAACCGTTGATAATAAAAAGCCTATTTTTGTTTATACTGTTGAGTACTCTGATTTATGGCATATTAGATTGGGACATGTAAATCTTAATGCAATTAAACTGTTGATGAAATTAGAATTAATTCTTAATTCTAAAGTTGAGACAAATACAAAATGTGAAATTTTTATTGAAGCAAAAATGGCTAAGTTACCTTTTCACTCGGTGGAAAGGAGTACTGAACCATTAGGCTTGATCCATACTGATGTATGTGATATGAAACGTGTGCAAACAAGAAACGGTAAAAAGTATTTTGTAACTTTTATCGATGACTGCACAAGGTTTTGCTACTTAT